AACACGGATGGAACTACCTACAAAGAATGTTGTTATCTTTACACAATCCATCAATCATCACTGACATGTCCGTGTATTTTGCTTTATTTCTTATTTTGATTTAGTGCTTTTTCTTCATGTTTGGTTTGCTTTATTTTTGTTTAGCTGTGTTTCTGGATAATACTCCGTCCTGATTACTAAGCATTTCATTCCGGAAGTGTACAATGGTTAAAGGTCGAAAAATAAGTAAGTGACTGTTTTATTGGACATTGTGCATCCTAAAAATTACGCTAAATCGTTCTTGAGAGCAATTTGCTGATTAACTATTCTTCGGTTCTAGGGTAAAAACTCACCATTCCTATTATCATTTTTTTTAGTTTTCCCGACAATTTCTCCGATATAGCAGTTTTACAAAAGGCACGGTCCACTAAGGGCAAAACGAAAATATTCCAACCCCTTCTCGCAGGATGATACGAAACACCACCCTATCTGGAGAATATGAGTCCTAACGTGTCTGTTCATAATGCAGCGTGATTTCCTGATTTATCGTTTGAGCATTTATATAGCCTAAAGAGGTTTATCTCTCGGGTCTGAAGCTGTGCAACAATACAACCTATTATAAAGAAAAGTGAGTGAGAAATTTAATGGTGCATTAACCTCTGTTTCAGTAAATCCTGCTTTGCTGCTTTTGGCGATGTGTTGGGCAGTAAATAAATTAGCTCTAGCGCTTGTAATCCCAGGTAAGTTGGAGGTCAACTTTCCTAAGTGGAGCTGAACATCAGTGAAATTTGTGAAAGATTCTCTTTGATCACTTATAGTGATCATATTATTATTATCATTATTATTATTTTCTTTTTTCTAAACACCGTTGAAAGTAGCGAATACGGTACGCAGTCTATAAGTGTGGGTAAAAACAGTCCAAATCTTAGAAACTGTTTTTAATTGCATTATCGGGCTTTAGGCATCATTGGCGATTGACAAACCAGCAGTGTAGAGTCTATTTGGCTCAGTGGTGGAGATCCAAAGGTCCCGGTTCAAATATCCTCTGGAAAAATCAAATTCGCAATCTGTTTACCTGACCTCTCGCTCGTGACAGGACAATGAAACACCTTTTTTTCCTTGTCGAATTCTGTGTCAGGTCTGACTGAGGAATAGTAATTTCACTTTAAGAAAATAACAAACAAATGAGCGAAATTTGTGTCATGAGCTAAATCGATCAACTGCAAAGTTTCACGTGGCTTGGAACTTCGAGGTATATTTTTTTTCCTCAACAGCTAAGAACTGTGCTGAGCTTTACAAGTGCGGCCAAACCATCAGTGGTGTTTATACAATCGACCCTGATGGTTCAGGTGCC